GATTTTCAAACCTATGTGGAGCCCCATAGGCTGGATGACATTGCTCCATGGTTTGGGTCTAGGCCTCGAGCTGGAGGTTGAGCACCCCTGTTTTGCGTACTCAGCCACACATTTCAGGACAGTCTCTGCTAGCAATATGATCTTGCCTTTATGCAAGCAGTACCTTTGGAAGACATAGAACGACTCAAAATCTTGCAAAATTAGAACCTCAGGTTGTATGAAAATGCTCTTTCCCATCAAGGACAGATGGACAATGGCATATTTTAACATGAGATCAGTGATAGACCACTGTTGAGGCAGCTCACTCTATACCACCACAACATTTATTCTACTGGACCAAGAAAATGCTCTGCTAATATGGGGAGTCCTGAGGACATAGGATATGGGCCAAGAAAAGCTTTATAACTCACTGTCCTTTGACCATTAACCTCCAAGCCTTATACTTACTGCAAACCACCCCCTGTGACCAAGCCTTCTGACAATGGGACATTCACTGACACTGAGCACCACCATTTATATTTAGAAAGTATTTAAAACATTGAAAAATAAGATCCCAAATCTTTCCTTATGCTAACAGGAAAGGGAAGGAGAGAGATCCTTATTAAGAGATCCTGTGCTGATCCTAATTCTAGAGTCAGCACAGGAACCCAGAACATGGAACATTTCATTTTGACTGCTCAAATGTATATGCTTTTCAAATAAAATGAGACTCTTACATGAAGGTCTGGCCAGCAAAGTTTCCCTGCAGACATGTGAAAGACACTCCCAAGAGTTATCCATCTAAACCATATTCTAGAAAGGACCCGGTTAAAAAGGGGAGGAACGGATACCGTGGCCATATTTTTTCCCACTCCAATGGCAATGTTTGCTGGTCAGATACAGAAGAGGTAGCCAGCAATATCCTCTGCTAGGCTGACTGCCAGGCTGAATAAGCCTTGCTGCACATCCCTCCCTACACCTCCCTGAACACCGCAAGCTCCAAACGAGCCTTAGTGCTATTTCCTTAATCTGCTCGAAGCGTTCCAAATTACATTTTCATTTTGGCCTAATTGGACAGCCATTGCATTAATTAAATACACAGCAGTTAAGTATTAAGGTTTGTTTTTTTTTTTAATTCAGGTGTAACAAATATTTAATAAGAGACATCTGGCCCCACCGTTGTTGAATCTCCCCAGTACCAAGGTGGAAATTTACCGTTTTCACGTGGATTCCAATATGGAGATGTTACAATTGATGTATTTGGTTATTGCATGATAGCTTCTATGCTTTCAAGCTGGGACTCCACTGTATGAAGTGTTTGGATGACACGGTGGAAGCCATTGTTTTTGCATCAATCTAAATAACCGAGAAAAGAAAGGGGCAGGGGAAAAGAGTTGATAAAACCTAAACCTCATCAATGCTGTTTTTTTTTTTTTTAAAGAACAGTCATTTTGACTAAACTATTTCTACAAGGGGCTTTTAATCAAGGGGAGGAATCCAGAAACCGAAACACCAATTTTCTTTAGATTTTGATATCTGGGGGAAGCAGGGGCTGGGGGAGGTAGGAAGGACAGCATCTGCTTTTTATGTTCTCTGTTTTTCAACAAAACACTGAATTGTTGTATGGGGAAATGAAACCATTGTCCATCCATCTCATAATATTCACATTTTTGCGAATGGGGTAGTGAGACCCAAAGTAAAAATAACATTTTATTTTATTTTTAATGATGTGAAGAGCACAAATCCAATTTGGGAAATAAATTTGAATCAATGGAAGTCTACACCACTACCCTAATGGTATGTTTTCACTTTTTGATACTGTTAGCATAGTACTGCTGATAAGCAGACACTTCATATCCTCAGTCTGGAAGATTTAGAAGTGCCATGAAGCCATGGCACATCCAGGTAAAAGAATATCACATCTCGTGTAATAACTAACTACTTGTGAGTCTTACTATGGATTTAACTACTTAACAAGGGCTTTGAATGACAAGAGACTAACCACTGGAGAACTCTGCTGTTAAACATAAAGAACAGAAGTTGTCCCTAGTATTGACCTGGCAATAGTAATAGCTATAACTAACTGCATCTTTTTAGCATAACCAGATTGGGGTCCATAGCCAATGAATTATTAGGACTGAATTATAATAGTTTGACCACATTTGGGTTTCTTATTTGTTAAAAACCCCTTTCAATGCAGGAAGCAGATGGCAAAACTACTAACATGATGCAGCCACAAAGGCAGCAAGTGGGAACTCAGGATGTATCCACTGAGATATTTCTACTAGAGAGGGACATATTAATGTCATTGTAGAAAGCTTGGGTGTGATCTGCTCTGAAATATTGCGTTCCCCAATATTGCGTTCCCCAAATATTCTGGTTCCCCATATTTGAGAAAATGAAGTGGAAGAGGTACGGAGAAGAAGGATGAGGATGAGCAAGATGATGGAGAGTCTGTCATATGAGAAGAGACTACAAGTGTGTGGGTTCAGAAAACTGAAGGAAAGATAAATGTAAGGGGGAAAGAATTATTTCAGCTAAAATACAATGTTGGCACAAGGGCAAAGAGTATGAACTGGCCATGAATTAGCTCAGTTTGGGAATTAAAGGAGCAAGTTTTGTGTTGGGGAGCATGTGGGGCATGGCTAGGCATCTGAGAAAAAAATGAGGAGTAAAAAGTTAAGGTCAGTTTTCAACAGAGCAAGTAATTAACAACAGGGTGCCTGTTGATGCCACCTGAAGCTTAAGTTGTTTTAGTCTATTAATTATTTCTAGAAGAAGCTGAACAGTGCAGTAGCAAAAATGTAGTTGGCACACTCTTACTTAAATTAGTCAAGAGGTATTTTGAATGGCTTGCAGTGAAGGTTGTATAATTTCTAGTGACTGTTAAAAACAGATAATGTTTCAAATAAATGCCATTTAGAAACATCCATATAGTGTATGTGTATACACCATGTCTCTGCAGGTTTACGCATACATACATGTACACATGGTATAGTCTCCTTTGCTCCAGGTCTTAAATTGACTGGTAGGTTAGGAAGAAACTTCCCCTTGAGATGTCATTCAATAATTATCCATTATTACATTCCCTTGGACAATCTCCTGAAGCAGATCCTAAAAGCCATTGTCAGAAACTGGCTAATGAATGAGATGGACCAGTGGATGGGTGCAGTAGTCCGTGTGTTCCTGTGGGCTTGTCTATGCAACAATGACAGTGAATCCTAGCATTGAGGGAACCGAGCATGCCTTACCCATGTTACACTTCATGTCGCTCTAAACCCACAGTGACATCAGTGAGGTCAGTCCAGTGATAGAAATTATAGAAAAATGAGGGTTGCAAGGGACCTCAGGAGGTCACATCTAGTCCAATCCCCTTCTTAAAGCAAGACCATCCCCAACTACATCAGCCCAGCCAAGGCTTTGCCTAGAAGGGTCTTTAAAACCTCCAAGGATGGAGATGCCACCACCTCTCTGGGTAACCTGTTCCAGTGCTTCACCACCCTCCTAATGGGAAAGTTTTTCCTAATATCCAACCTCAATGTCCCTTGCTGCAACTTGAGCCCATTGCTCCTTGTCCTGTCGTCTGCCCCACACTGAGATCAGTCCAGCTCCATCCTCTTTGCAACCCCCCTGCAGGTGGTCTAAGGCTGCTATTAACTCTTCCCTCAGTCTTTTCTTCTGCAGACTAAAGAAGCCCAGTTTCCTCAACCTCTCCTCATAAGTCATATGCTTCAGCCCCTCAGCCATTTTTGTTGCTCTCCATTGGACTCTATCCAATTTGTTCACATCCAGTCTGTAGTGGGGGGCTCAAAACTGGATGCAGGACTGCAGATGTGGCCTCCCCAGTGCTGAATAGAGGGGAAGAATTACTTTCCTTGATCTACTGGTGATGTTCCTACCAGTGCACCCCAGGATGCCGTTAGCCTTCTTGGCAACAAGGGAACACTGCTGGCTCATGTCTGGTTTATTGTCCACTGTCACCCCCAGGTCCTTCTCTGCAGAGCTGCTGCTTTTCCAGTTGGTCCCCATCCTGTACAGGTACATGGGATTGTTCCATCCTATGTGCAGGACTTTGCACATGTCCTTATTGAACCTCATGAGATATCTTTTGGTTCAATCCTCCAATTTGTCTTGGTCACTCTGAATCCTAGCCCTACCATCCCGTATATTTACTACTGCCCCCAGCTCAGTGTCATCTGCAGACTTGCTGAGGGCAGTGGCGTACTGAGGGTCCCCGGCGGCCAGGGACCAATGCCTGCATTTGTACACCCCCAGGATGATCTGAGCATGGTACAGGGCCCAAGGAAAATC